GTTAAGTCATTTCCGGGAAGAGGAGCCGCTCTTTGTTAGCTGCAACATGGAGGCGACTAGGGGAACTGAGAAGCCGGTGAGACGCTGCTCTGGGGTCGGGTGAATGGGGAAGTCGAGCTGAGTCTAGCCTTGAACTCTCCCTCTTCTCCTCCTTTTTTCTTCCCAGGTTTCCGGGGAACTGATATCAGTGGCACATGCTCTTTCTCTCCCAGCTGAGTCTTATGGCAACGATGTGAGTATGACTCATCCACAGCTCCCATTCACCTAGTCTGTGACGTCTGCACGGACTGCCACGAAATTGTAACGCCCTGCCCTGATCTCTTATGTAGACCTTGTCCGTGTACGCTAGAAACCGCGCCTTTCAGTTCATTCTAATCTGTTTGGTCCACAAACGCAGGACTAATGCTAATTAAAGTAGTCCCAAGCTTTGCTGCACGTTAGAATCCCCTGTGAAGCATTTAAATATCCAGATGTCCAGGGCGCAATCCATATCAATTAAATCAGAATACCCGGGGCTGAGGGCCCGGAATCCGTATTTTTAAAGGTCCTTGAGTGATTCCATTGTGCAGTAAAGTTGCACAGGTTTATGGTGTGTTTTGTTTAGATTCTTAAGGAAGAAGCACATGATGCATTTGAACTACAAGGCACAAGGATATGAGAACAATAGTAACACTCAAGTAAGAATGTGATGTATGCTACATGAGTGAGTGTATCAGGACATAAATACAAAGCAGTTTAGCTGAAGAATAACCCCCTAGAACCCAGACCAGTAGAGGAAGACTTCACTGAGATAGTGAATGTGGAACTGGATAGTCAAAGTGTAGGTGGACAGCGGACATGAATTGACAGTCAGGCAAAAGGCCTGCAGGTAAAAATGCAAATGACTTCTGGGATCAGTGAAATAGATCCCTCCAGTTTGAGGGGGAGATTCTAATGGAACAGGTGGGGTAGGTGCTTGGTAAGAGGTGTTCATAAATTAACCTGCTTCATGATACTGTTTCATTTCTAAGTGTTATAGGGCGGGGAATTGGCTATCAGAAAAACACAAATAATTATGAAATGCCACACTCTTAAAATGAAGAGTAATTTCACTTCCATTATTTTATTTTGTTGTTTTAACAATTCAGTTGTATTTATTATTTCAATTTTACAATGATTTAACTCAGTCTTTTTCAAATGATTTTTATTGACTGATTGATTTTAGAGAGAAACCGATTTGTTGTTTCACTTAATTTTGCATTCATTTGTTGATTCTTGTATGTGCCGGGATGAGAGATCGAACCTGCAACCTTGGCTATTGTGGACAACACTTTAACCAGAGCCTAACTCAGTCTTGAGAATGTTGTTTATCTGCTGTTTTATTTAGTCTAACACTTTCACTAGCTTCCAGGAAAAGATAGTCACTGGCTCATTCTATTTACTTGACTGTGTAGGTAGCTTTTTGTTTGTCATAAGGACAGAAGAATTATTTTATTGTCCAAACACATCAGTCCAGTTTTTATCCTTTGACAGTAACACCAAGTTTGGTAGCTCTCCAGAGCATACAAAGACTTCCTTAATTTGTTCTCTAGTAGCAGGATTGGGAGATTTCTGACCTGCCATTCTTTACTCCTTTGCAGCCTGATATTGAGATGGCTTGGGCCATGAGGGCAATGCAGCATGCTGAAGTCTACTACAAGGTGAGTTGTCTGTCTTCATTATTAAGCAGAATTAAGCATGTATTGTTTGATTATCTGCTAATCACTATTCTTAGTAATTTAAACAATTGTGTTTTGAAGGTAATTTTTATTACCCTAAGTTCTTAACCTGCAGAAAACAGGGGTGTAGAAGTGAATTTTGTTTTGACAAAGGAATTGAGTTTCTTTGCTCAGAGTTCTGTTGCTAACTGGCAAAAGGGTGCATAGCCCATGGTAGGTACTTAATAAATGATTGTTGACTGAATGAACAATCCACAGAGGGAAATAGCCAGGCAGTACCAAGGCCAAAAAGTGTTTGAATTGGTGAAATGGACCGTAGTATATTATGACTCTTTAAAACTATGTCCCGATTTTTAAAAAAAATATGTTTTTATTGATTTCAGAGAGAGGAAGCCAGAGGGGAGAGAGAGATTGAAACATTAATGATGCGAGAAGTCATTGATTGGCTGCCTCCTGCATGCCCTCTATTGGGGATGGAGCCCACAACCTGGGCATGTGCCCTGTCCGAGAATCAAACCGTGACCTCCTGGTTCATAGGTAGACACTCAACCACTGAGCCATGCTCGCTGGGCAAACTATGTCATGGTTTCATCCAGAACCTAAGCTGTCTATCCTTCCTAATGAACTCCTCTGCCCTGAGAACCATAAGGGGTTTTGGGGGGAAGGGGGAATAGAAGTGTACTGAACTAGAAACTAGCATATGTATGTTGTCTTATTTTCTGGCAGCTAATTTCATCAGTTGACCCACAATTCCTAAAACTCACCAAAGTGGATGACCAAATCTATTCTGAATTTCGGAAAAATTTTGAGAAACTCAGGATAGATGTATTGGACCCAGAAGAACTCAAATCAGTATCAGCTAAAGAGGTAAAAAATTCTCTCAAATATTGCTTAGCATCTTACCCACAGTTATTGATGGTGAATACATTTTTATACATTTAAAATGGGAAGGAGTAGTTTTAAGGAAAATACATAAAGAACCAGGGTTCGTGTGTAGCTGTCATCAACCAATAAGTAAGTTAGGAAATGACTGATTTTCTGGTTTATGGATTTTTTTTATGTTCATTGAATCTATTTTTTCTACCTTCTTGATTTGGACATTTCATTCCTAACTACCCAGACCTTTCAAGGGAGGAGGAATAAATTTACCTATGTGAGTAGTTTAACCAGAACACTTGGGTTTGGAAGATTGGCAAATAAGGTACAGGGAGGGTTTTGGATTCTCTGGATTTAAGTTGCCATTATCACAGGCCATGCTAAAGATCATTGAAAACCTTGTGTTTTGCTTTGTTTACTTGATTAGCTTGTACTTTTACAGAGCACTAAAACTCTTACAATTGGGAAAATTTTTCCCTGAGAGTAGGCCCTTGGCTTATGAAGAATGTAAACATTTAACTTTCAGCAGCATGCTAACTGATCTTTAGAAAATTGCCTCTACTGTATAGACTTCTTTCTTAAAATTTAACTTTGTGACTTTGGGCCAAATTCCTGTATTCCTTGTTTCATTTGTGCTTCAGTGGGGATGAGTGATCATTTAGCCAATAACTAAAAACAAAACAAAGGCTTTTGTTAAGTAATCAAATTTTGATTCTGTAGTCAAGGATTTAAGTACTTTGGTAAAAATATTGTTCGTGTTGGGAAATACCAGTCTAAAGACACAATAGGTAGCACAGAAACTTATTGCTAATGAAACAAGCAATCAGCTCAAACCTAGTCTCTTTCACTGTAGTTATTTTCCTTACTGAGAAAATGAAAACTCCTCTCTGGGCCTGACTTCAGCAGCCTCCTACATTAGGTAAGGCATCTTTTCGCTTTTATAGAAGTGGAGGCCATTCTGTTTGAAGTTTGATGGAGTTATAGAAGACTTCAACTATGGTACTTTGCTGCGACTGGATTGTTCTCAAGGCTACACTGAGGAAAACACCATCTTTGGTGAGTTTCTTGCCCCTGGAATTGTTTCTGTATAAGGTGAGTGGGGGATCTGGTTTTACTGATGAATAGTTTACATGGATAGTTAATTTGGGGATTATCTTATTTGTTATATCTTTGAAGATCATGTTAATAAATCTTGAGTAACTGAGATAAGATAGTTAAGTATTTCAGCCTCGTTTATTATAGGATGATTAGAATTTCACATCTCTGAAACTTATGATTATACTTGACTACTTTGCCTGTTAATTCAGCTTTGTCAGTAGATTTCCAGTAGGTTTAGAGAAATTGTGACTGGGACAATAATCAGTTCTATTCACTTTCCAGCTCCCAGGATACAATTTTTTGCCATTGAAATTGCCCGCAACCGGGAAGGCTATAACAAAGCAGTTTACACCAGCCTTCAGGACAAAGAAGAAGAGAAAAGAACCAACAAAGGAGGAGAAAAAGAAAAAGAAGCCAACAGAGGCATCAACAAAAGTGGTGAAACATCTATGTAAGGTAGAAAGGGAATAGCATTCTAGAAACTGTGACTCAACTGAGTCTACAGGTACCATGATGATACTTATACAGATCCCCATGGTTAAATGTATGCCTTTGTTCAATTGGACATGCAGAAGGACATTTTTTATAGCCTAATAATCAGGAGCTGCTCTGGTTGTTCTCTTGTATGAACTGGCTTAAAGATTATGAGTAGGGTCATAGTTGATTGTTTCTTGGTATATTTTTTCTTGGTTTTCTCCACCAGTCAAGTAAGAAATTTTGTAAATAAATTTATTTTGGTTCTTATGGCTGTCTATATCTGATTAACTTTTAAAAAGTGTTTAAAATTATTTGACACTTTAATCTCTATTCCATATTTAATATAAAACGATTTATGCTTGTTTCCTTAAAAAAATTTTAAATTACATTTAACATACAGTACCATACTAGTATCAGGTGCACAACATGATGATCAGACATCCATATAACTTATGAAGCAATCACTCAGACAAGTCCAGCACCTATCTGACACCACATAAAGCCATTACAATATTATTGACTATATTTCCTATGCTATACCCCCACATCCCTATGATATTTGTAACTACCAATTTGTACTTCTTAATCCCTTCCACTTTTTCACCCATTCCTTTACCCTGTTGCCATCTGACAACCATCAAAATGTTCTCTGTACCTATGAGTTTGTTTATGTTTTTTTTGTTCATTTATTATGTTCTTTAGATCCCATGTATATGTGAAATCATATGGTATTTGTCGTCTTCTGTCTGACTTATTTCACTTAGCACAATACCCCCTAAATCCATCCATGTTGTTGCAGCTAGCAAAAATTCATTTTTTATAGCGGAATAATATTCCATTGTATATATGTCCCATTTCTTCTTTATCCATTCATATATTGATGGACACTTTGGTTGTTTCCATATCTTCCTTATTGCAAATAATGCCCCAATGAACATATGGATGCATATGTCTTTTTGATTTAGTGTTTTGGGTTTCTTTGGATAACTATTCAAAAGTGGAATTGCTGGGCTCTTCCTGGTCTCTTGTTATAGCCTTTGTTTTACAGTGTATTTTGTCTCATATAAGTATTCCTACCCCAGCTTTTTTTGTTTCTGTTTGCATGAAATATCTTTTTTTATCCCTCTACATTCAGTCTGTGTGTGTCTCAATCTGAAGTGCGTCTTGTAGGCAGCATATATATGGGTTTTGTTTTTTATCTATTCACCATCCTATGTCTTTTGATTGAAGCATTTAATACATTTACATTTAAAGTAATTGTTGATGCAGGTATATTATTGCTGTTTTATTATTCATATTCTTACCCTTTTTTATCTTCTTGAAGATCCTTTAACATTTCATGTAATACTGGCCTGGTGGTGATGAACTCCTTTAGCTTTTTCTTTTCTGGGAAGCTCTTTATCTGTCCTTTGATTCTAAATCATAGCTTTGCTTGGTAAAGTAATCTTGGTTATAGGTCCTTTCTTTTCAGCACTTTGAATATTTTGTGCCAGTCCCTTCTGGCCTGCAAAGTTTCTGTTGAGAAATCAGCTGACAGTCTTATTGGACCTCCCCCCCTTGTAGGTAACTAACTGCTTTTCTCTTGCTGCTTTTAAGATTCTCTCTTTGTCTTTAACCTTTGGCATTTTAATTATGATGTGTCTTGGTGTGGCTCTCTTTGGTTTCGTCTGGTTTGGAACTCTACACTTCCTGGACTTGTATGTCTATTTTCTTCACCAGGTTAGGGAAGTTTCCCATCATTATTTCTTTACGTTTCTAATTTCTTGCTCTCTTTTTCTTCTTGTACCCCTACGATGCAAATGTTGTTACACTTGCTGTTATCTCAGAGGGCCCTTAAACTATCCTCATTTTTTGGATTCTGTTTTCTTTTTGCTGGACTGATTAGATGTTTTCTGCTACCTTGTCTTCCAAATTGCTGACTCAGTCCTGTGCTTCATCTTATCTACCGTTGATTTTCTTTAATGTATTCTTCATTTCTGACTGGTTCTTTTTTGTTTTCTATCTCCATTTTTATGTTCCCTATCTCTTTGTTGAAGTTCTCATTGAGATGATCTGTTCTTCCCCTAAGTTCATTGAGCACCTTTATAACTATAGTATTTTGAACTCTTGTATCTAGTAGCTTGCTTGTCTCCATTTTGTTTAGTTCTTTTTATAGACTTTTATTCTGTTCTTTTATTTGGGACATGTTTCTTTGTTTCCCCATTTTGGCTGCCTCCCTGTGTTTTTATAGAGAGCTGCTATATCTCCCCACCTTGGTATAGTAGTCTTACATAGTAGGTGTCCTGTGGGGCTCAGTGGTGCAGTCTCCCCGATCACCTGAGCCAGGTGCTCTAGGTATTTCCCTTGTGTGAGTTGTGTGTGCCCTCTGTTGTAGTTGAGCCTTGAGTGCTATTGGTATGTCAGTGGGAGTGACTGAACCTCAGGTTGATTGATTTTGAGGACTGGCTGTGACTGTAGTAGAGGAGTTATTGTGCAGGGACTGACCCTACAGAGCAGGAATCACCTAAGTGGGGTTCTGCTGAGTCTACCCTTTACGTGTCATTTGGGGAGGTGTTTGGGTAGTGCTCTAGTGCGGTTGGAGGCTGACCACTGAGTGTGTTGCTTATGGGGCCTCTTGTGAGAGGTCTGGTGCAGGCCAAGATCAGCCATTGCCTTTGCCCTGCCTGGTGTCGCCTGGTATAAGTTAGAAAGAGCTCTGCAGATGGTTTCCACTTGTGCTGGGCTTCCAGATTCCTAGAAGGGGCTAATGCCAGCCTTGGGGCTGCTTATCAAGAGGTAGGGGGCATGCTGAAACCAGATGCTGTTTGTTTTGTTCTTTGTGAATCTTTAAGAGATTTTAGGCAAGTCTGCAGCATGAGCCAAGATAGGCAGTTTGCATGAAAAAGCCACTAGAAGCACCTTGGGTAGGCCAGTAAGTTGGGTGGAGTTGACTCTTGCCATTTGAGTGACTATAGCTTTCAAAATCACCAGGGTGCGACAAACAGTGTTAGCTTGGTTGGTGGAGACTTGGTTATGGTGCCTGACTGTGAGTGCAGTCTGAGTAAGGGGTGGGCTCAGTAAAGAAACAGTGGCTTCTACCAGCACTTCTGTTCAGAGAGAGCTGCCCCTCCAGCCCTTGCCTTGAAGCCAGACAATTCCGTTCCTCCCTGTATGTCCCTGGCACTTTTCGGGCTGTTGCCCCAGCACTGGAGCTCAGAGTGAGTGAGTCCATTATCAAGTAAGTCCATGTGTGGGCCCTTTAGGAGGAATGCTGGGGACTCCTGGCATTGGAGCCTGGTGTGGGGTTGGGACCCCTCTGTCCTCAGAGGAGACAGAGTTGTTTTCTAAGTTGAGATATCCCTCCCCATTTTTATTCGCCATACGTGGGTATGGGACTAATCCATTCAGTGTCTCCACCGCTTCTACCAGTCTCAACATGGCTTCTTTTTTATATCCTTAGTTATAAGATTTCTGTTCAGCTAGACTTCAGGCAGTTCTGAATGATAGTTCTGTAGTTTAGTTGTAATTTTGATGTGGTTGCAGGAGGATACCAGTACCGCATTTACCTACACCACCATATTAAGTGGAAACTACTTTTGTTTCTTAATGTTTCTCAGTGTTTCTTATAGTGAAGTTCCCTCAGACCTGTTAAGTTGTACATGGTCTTGGGATTAGAAGTCGTTACATAAGAACTGACTCTTGCCATTTGAGTAACGATAGTTTTCTGATGTTCTCTGATTATATCTGGCAAAAAATTTGATGAATACCTATGGGAATAACAGCAGCAGCCTAAATCTGTCAGACTGGTGAATACAGCCTAGTTCACATTAGAGGAGCAGGAGACTGGACCTGCTTCAGTACTTCTCTTCTGATAGCGAAGCTGTTACCTGAAAGCTAGCAGAAATTAATAATTAAATATAAAGCTTAGTAGAGTGGCTTCCCTTTTATAATGCTATGGACAATAGCATACATTAATACAAATGAACATATTCTTAAATGATTTTGTTAACCTTCAAAAATAGACCAATTGATTTTATATGAATGGGGGTTTCCTTCTCATCTAATGATTTTAAAGAGTGCAGCTTGTAGTTATCTTCACATATGTATAAACTTTTATGCATGTCCCCGTGGATACATTGACCTTGATTGCTAAAGCTATTAAGGGGAAGCCACCATGTTTATAGTACATACAGTAAATAGTTTTAAATATCCAACCACAGCATAATCATGCAAGAAAGGATGTACCAGAGCAGAAAAGGGGGGGAATTGAGGCTTCCTCTGAGTGGACATAGGAGAAAAATAAAAATTAAACTTGATGAATTGTCCCTTAAGCAAGAGCTAAATTACAAACGCACACAGCTAGAAGCAACAATTGTGCACAAACCAAATAGGTTTCTCCAAGAATTCTCTTTGGCAAGTTCTTAAAAAGATTTAAAACATTTGTTAGAGTTTTCATTTTATGAAAATATGTTTTTAAAGAGATAGGAGAGTGTTAAATACTTCATACTAGGCAGCAGTTTTAAAATTAAGAACTTCCTTTATTGTATTAACTTTCTCTTAATTTTCATATATTCATAAATATCCACAAATATGTATCCATACACATTACCTGAGACACTGGCGAAGAATAAAGATTACTTACCATATACAATTTTGCCTCTTGTGGTCTTTCCTAGGTTTGTCCAGCAAGAAAACTAGCTTATCTGATTGATTTTATAGAGAATAAGAAATATACTGTTGAAACTCAGACTTCTTTAAAACAAGAGGCATCTGTCCAAGGACTAGGGGATAAAATCTGGGAAAAGAGAGGAGAATAAGAACATGAAACACTAAAGCTGCACTGTAAGTCTGGGAATTCAAGGCAGCATCCAAGACTTAAGGGGAAAGAGTGGACAGAATTCTTAGTATGGCCTCAAAATTTACGTCCTTGGTATACATTCTCTGTATAATTACCTCCTGTTGGTGTGAGCAAGACTTGTGAACATGAGGGAATTTTGTTTTTGTGTTTAAGTTCCTAACCATTTGATTTTGGGAGATGATATCAAGCCAGGCTTGACATCATATATAAACATCTATGCCTTATTCAGAACGTGATACCATTCCAGTTATTTATCTCCATGACATGTTCTGAAAGCAAGGAAAGGGCACAGACTAATTTTGGATTTACAGAAAGGAAAACTACAGCCTTTTTATATTTTAAGCAACTAAGTTAGTGGTAATTTGTTACAGGAGGAATAGAAAACTAATAAAGAAGGTGAACTGAGCCTGCTCCAAAAGTAGAGACATTCACTGCACTCATTATTTATTTTGAAACTATAA